GACCTCAAAGCTTCGGAGCTCGACATCAAACATTTGAATCTGACAAAATGAAGCTGGACCAAGTAAAAAAGACTCACGAAGGGCGGATAGTTGTTTCTTTAGTGGGTATACCTAAAAGTGATAGTGCTGGAGAGTGTTGGTGGGCGTAAACATGAGGCTCTGAATAACAACCCTTTCTTCTCCTGAAGTAAAGACGAGATCTCGTGGGAGTGGGCCTCAAAGAGCAAGCCCGTCTGCAGGACAGAATAGGGCTAGTTGACGGTAAAAAAAATACCTCATAAACGATTATCCCTATCAGAAAATTCAAAAGGGTAGTTGGCGAGCATACGAAGGCTTTCGATAGATTCTCCTCGGGCCATTACATTCATATACGAACGGGGTACAAACCATGTCACGAACCTCCCCAGCAGCGACAGCTCGGGTATTATCGTCAACCAACCCGGTCCTGCATGGGGAAAGTAAGGATAGGTTGCCAGCTCAGACCACCCCCATGTGGATCTACTCATTTACTTGCTCCTGTGGAGCAGGTTATATCGGTCTCACTAGTCGGCGCTTGTCCAAACGAATACCGGAACACCTGCCGACATGGCTGAGCAAAGGTGAAATAGGGAGCATAAACAGCGCAATTCTTGCCCATATTGTTGATTCCGGACATCGTGTGGACTGCAACGAAGCCTTCCGAGTGAGCTATAAGGTCCCAACAAACTATCCAAAGTCCCTGGGTCAGCGCCTGCTAGGAACAGCAGAAGCGACCGTTGTGTGCGCAAAGTAACCTCCTACAAGCTCCACGTCTGGCATGGCCCACAGTCACTTAGTTGCACGTACTCGTCCCCACGTAACCATCCTTCTCTTATCGACCCCTTCCCTCGATTCCTACGACTCGCTTGTAAGAAAAGACTAACATTATTGACCGCTTGTTTAACTTTTACCCCGATCCCGTATAAGTGAAGGCAAAGTTAAAAACCCGTACTCGGTCCATACCGGTGATTCTGAGCCCTGGTAATAATGGATAGACTGCTAGATGACTCTATGATCAACCGGATGATCAGCGTGCGGGTTGTGGGGATGAATAAGCTGAGGACGTAAAACCAGTCGCCTTT